TTTTTGCCAAGTTGCTCATCCTGCCTTTTTTCTTCTTCAAATTTCATCCTAGTCTCTCCCCCCCCCCCCTAAAAATCAAATGGTAGCTCCCTAAGCTTTTGTTTTTACTTGTCATCTGTCGTTGTAAGTTATCTTTTCCAAACATTTTCTTTTTCCGAGAATACTGAACCAATTTAAACCAATGAGACAAAATCTAACAAACCAAAAACCCTTAAGTTATCTAGGATTTTTTTGAAAATAGTATTTTAAAATTAAAATTTGATCCTGGTACTGAAGAAGAAAAAAAACAATATGTTGGATCACAAATTAAGGAGCTTCTAGGCATCATTTCTCATTTTTTGATCGGATTTAGCCGTGAATTACTTGCATTATTTTAGGTACCTTTTATTTATATAGCTCTTCATGTGTTTCGGCGCTTATACATCCTTGGCATTAAAATATTTGACTTTGAACGTTCCCGAATATATAGACTTCTACCGGATAATATAGCCATGCTGATGAGCTTGGCTGAGCAGGAAGTTTAAATGCACAGTCGATCATTTCGGAATTTGGACTTTAAATCCGAGCTCCGTATTAGCCACGCTCTTTGTACGTTGAAGAACTCTTAAAACAACTTTGAGGGGTCTGTATGTGACCTACTGCATTGCTAAATTTCTCCCCCTATTCAACATACCTCCTTTTATGCAGTGGCAATATAAATTTCCCGCCCTGCAGTCTGGTCGACATATTATTTTCCACTGGAACGTCAAGCAAACCATATTTTCAATCACAGTACGAGAGATGGATTAAGAAGATTAATTGAGGGTGTACCCATGCATTCTTTATATTTAGACCTAGTTAGGTGTTTGTTGATATTTTAGGGGACGATAGAATCATCACTTGTTTGTAAAAGCAGAAATTTATATATAAAGAGATCAATATCCTCTTAAAAGTCCTAATTTCTCGATTTTCATATGATTTCTGAAATATATATTTCTTTTATTTTTTTAGATTCTAGATCTTCAAACACCTATAGACCAGCAACTAGACACAGAAGAACGAAAAAGGCACAACTTTTGCCGAATCATATACACAGATTCATATGTAAAATGCGTATAGGTCGTATTGACAGATGTTTATAATTCGTCGATGAATGTAAACGATTGTTTTATCACCAATTTTTTTTTATTAAGACTAGTATAACCTTTTTCGAAGAGGAAGTGTTCTTGTGTTGAGGAAACACTTAATTTTTAACTTTAATTTTTATAATGATATAAACAAGAAATGATTTATATACAAAGACAAAGTTGGTGCATCAATTCATGACACAAAATCCCAAAATACATTAGACAAAAATCATAGCAAAGGAACAACACTTTTATTGCTGCTTTTCAGCTCAGAGTCACAGAGAGGCCTTCTTTTCAATGAATTTTGATCATTGTATGGTCCTACGATTATTTCATATCAGTTAAACTTAAATTCATTTTGCAACAAAAGCTCAATTGTTACGAAAAATCTACTGGCATGGTATTTATAGAATGATGATTTTATGAATGAATGAACTTTATACTCACAAAACTACATGTCATACAGAGAAAAAATATATCTACAATTACATATATCTATATATAAACATGCACATGTGTGAACAAACGTAACTTTACTTGGTATTTATAGAATGATGATTTTAAAATCATTTCAAAACATTTTCACTTATTTTACGTGTATTTATATATTTTATACAAACGTCTTCCATTTAAAAAAAAAGTAATCGAAAATATTTCAGAAAATGAAAGAGATAAATGCATTTCCCCCCGATCTTTTCGATCAAGATTATATGTCGAAGTTGTATGAAATAACTCGTAAAATATTAATCATCATTATCATTGTTACTTCATCTTGATTTAAATACAATTAAATATATTTATTTCAAATGCACATATATGCAACATTGTTTGTTAGACCGTTCTTACAGTTTTGGATAACATGTTTCGATCTGTAAGTCGGTATTCAAAATATTGTAGGTAAGTATCAGGTACCCTTGTTTCTATGTATACATACAATTTCATTGGGTTGGTCTTATTGGTGAGAAAAAGCATGAAGGTTTTGAGGGTAAGCCTGCTGCGAAATACCATTGTATATGGGGTTGAATTGACCTCACTATGCGCGTAAAAAACGAACACAAAACCTACAGTAACAGACGAAAAGGTCAATAGTTATCCAACTGCTTATACCATTGTCAGCTGAGTTTCAAGAAGGTCGAAGCATCGTGTAATAAAGAAAATGTTGCTAATGTAGTGCCAAAACATGCAACAACATTTTATTGAGGAGAAACAGAGTTTATTTCACTAGTTTTAAATGAAACAAAATGTTTTACATATTATTAATTAACATTGTAAATTTTGAATGTAGATGTATAAAAATGTATAAATAAATTGCGTCTTAAAAGTCTCTTATAAATCTTTTTAAGATTGGTGCATACATTGCAAATGTTTATGTTATCCTGTGAATCTGTGAATCTTATTACATGTTTGTATGTGGTAAGACTATAATATATGAAAAATTTTCACGACAAAACTTTCAGCTTTTCTCTTTGTTTTATTTCGATGCGTGTCCGTTTAGGTGAAACTAGTCAGGTAAAATTCTTAAGTACCCCAGATTTGTGTTGATAATATGACAAAAATAAACAAACAGGCTTAGCTATATTAATATCATCCATTTCGAATGCTTTATATCTTAGTTTCCGGAACATGTAATTAAATAGCAAATGGAAACGCTTTTAACAATTTAACAGTTTATTTTAATAAATTAAAGAGTTTTAGTGACTAAGATGTTGTCCCAACAGAATCTACCTAATAACCAACATGATTAATACACATGTTATATCATTTCCCTTAAATGATTGGATAGTTTATTTGTGAAACTAATGGTTTTAATGGGGACGACTAATCAGCCTAATGGACTGTAATATTTGTGTACACAACATATGGAGTTTGTGATCTAATGGGTTTTTAGGTTGTTGGAAAGTTTTGTCTTTATGAATATTTGGTCAAGACAATTTCTTCTGTTAAACAATCTGATGTTTGTTTGTACCTAACAATATAAGGATTGAAATAATCTCCGGAAGTTTTGAATAAAACATAAATATATATCTAAATATTTATTTTTATCGTTTCATTCAATGTTAAATTATATAATCCAAAAAGCTGAAGTAGAAAAACAGTCCTCTGTTTTATGTTCAAAAGAGAGTAAATGCCACGGTTAAGGCACAGACTGCGCCTCGATGCTATCATCCTTGGTGGTCTATAAAGGAAAAATCCGATAGACAACTTAAAATCGTACAGCAACTAGGTATGAAGTATCCAGATAAATGCATTTGTATGCACCTGTCCTAAATCAGGAGCCTGTTGTTCAGTGGTTGTCGTTTGTTGGTGTGGTTCATAAGTGTTTCTCGTTTTTTATTAGATCGTTGGTTTTCCTGTTTGAATTGTTTTACACTTGTCATTTTGGGACTCTTTATAGCTTGTTGTTCGGTGTAAGCCAAGGCTCTGTCTTGAAGGCTGTACTTTGACCTATAGTTATTAATTTTTTTACATTGGGACTTGGATGGAGAGTTGTCTCATTGGCACTCATACCACATCTTATTTATAAGACTGCAGTTGTTGGTTGTTTTGATGTATTGCGGGATGTATAAATTTGAAGCCACGTCCTGTCAGAATTGGGACGACCGTGATTCCGATGTCACGTGTAAAGAGAGTGCCACGCTATCTGCACGTTAAGAACCCTTGCAACAACTCTTTTAGGGGTCTGTAGGTTGTCTGTTTGCAAGGTTAAACTTCTGTCCCTGTCCAAAAAATCCTTATTTTCCAGTGGCTTTCCAAAATTTCTCGCCTTTAATCACTGTCAACCCCCTATTGCAGGACCAATTGATAAGTTGCTCTCGTCCTGACCATGGATGATATTTTTGACACTAGACGTTAAGGAAACAGCAATAAATCTTAATGTGTATTTGTATCATTCCTAGAGTATCAGATATGAAACTCTGTCACTCACGGTCTGGTAATGGCCTTACAATATGTACATTTTTTGTACCATTGTTCTGTTACGCATATGTTATATATCAGATTGTCTTCTAAATGACATTTCTATTTTATCGGAAATAGTTGAAGTTGAACACCCTTCAAGTGCACCATTTGGACTCCTTCATATTTAAAATTTCACTAGGTATAATTAGATTCGATTTTGACCCAACGATTGAGACACTGACATTAACTGTTTATACTTTGTACCACAGTCAGTACCTTTATTCTCATATTTTATGCCTTATATTCCACTGATGTATAATGAGCATTTTACGTTTTAACAAAAAATATTTCTATTCAATTAAATTATATATAAAGTATGTTTTTATGTTAAAAATGTGTATTTCTATTCGATGCTAGTTGGTGGAATAGATATATACATTCTTGATAAACCCAAGCAATTATATTCTAAATGTACAACTGTTTTAAATCAACCAAATGCCATCAGAATTATCAACATATATGATCGACTTAATATATACAAAAAATCTGACGTTTCATGGGCAACGATAAGAGTTTTACGATAAATTAAGCATATGTTTTTTTCTTGATAAACAGATGCCTGTGAAATGTCAAAAGGTTGTATCGTCTAAATTATTTGTCCGTAAGGTTTTCTAATGAGATCATATTTCTTGTGGCGAACTTTATCTTGACTCTATATCTATTTAATTCTTATTAAACGCGACACCTCTTAAATTAACAGTCAAAATTTTAGTTTTGCCTGGAGAAGAAAGCAATATCCGAATGACAAGAATTAAACAAGTCATTATTTTTATAAGTCAATTGTAACAAACCTGTCAATTTGTGTAATACTTATGAAACATGTGTTATGTCGTGTACTTATACATATGTATAGCGGCTAGTTATTTTATAAATATTTTGTTCTATTCTCTATTGTGTTCTCCCTCCTAATGCAGATAATCTGTCAAAAAATTGAAGTATGTTTAGAAACTTTTATTTGTCATCGTAAATTCATACAATAATAATAATAATGTATATATACAATTTTCTTTACCATGCCAGCACTTGCAAGATATCATTTCATAACAAAATATCAACATAACAATGAAAATACAATACTCAGAAACAGGTAATGCAGGCAACTGTATAAGTGTATTATGGTCATTTGTAACATTTTGGAAAACAATCTTTTTTATAAGCAACAGTCATCTCCATTTATATTTTATGTCCACATATAACATAAGAATAAAATCTGTCCTTCATTTACAAATATGAAGCATTGAGAATTATCATATTAGTTCAGATGCAAAATATGCATGCATATGTACCAAATATGAAAGTTGTATACTTTTGCAGGTTAAATCATGCTAATGACGGAACAAAATCTCAATTTTCTAATTTATTTTGTAAATGAAAATAATGAAAGACTAGCAAATTTCCTCCTAATCATGGCCCTTAAATTATTTTTAATTGAAAAAGTTATGTGATCATAAAAACCGGAAGTCATGACTAGAACCGCAAGAAATAATAAAAAAATGTATCTTTTAATTTGACATTTGTATCATTTCTCGTACTTTATGATTTGCTCGTGGAGAGCCATTCGGCATGTGTCCTTTAAGCACTTTTGGATAGTCTTGTTCACAGAAAACACCACCATTTATAACACAAAATCTGTCACCTGGGGCAAGTGGAGCGTGACATGTTACACACTTGAAACAGTTCACATGATACACGCTTGCTTGAGCTCTCATCACAAGTTCACTTGGCGGAATAGTCTGTCCACATCCAGCACACAATCCACCGGACCCAAACATCCTAAAAAATATAAGTATTGGTTTATATATATATATATATAATAAAGAACTGTGGTGTGATTGCCAATGAGACAACTATCCGAAAGACGTGGATGTAAGCATCTATAGGTCACCGTACGGCCTTCAACAACGAACAATATCAAACAACCATTTGAAAATATAATGTGTGATATTCTCCCAAACAGATTGCAAGTTCGGCAGTTTACTGATTCATTACAATCAATATTCGATATTCTCTGTAGTGTTGTTGCTGACAATGCTTAAGTCACAACTTTTAGTTCCTATATTAATTTACTCAATAAAATAGTAAACTTTCAGTTCATGGACCCCTAGGACTAAGCTAAATTAAGTAATATAAAGACATGCTTAACCCGTCTGCTTTGTTTATCTGGTAGAGAGTTTAAGCGTTTAACTTATTACTTAATATATTTTGCTGCAAGCACTTAGTTCTTCTGAGAATTGAATGCTGTAATCATATAGCTATAAATGAAATTAGTATTGAAAGGGCAGATCCGTTTAAATGAGTTCGGGGAGGAAAATTAAACTAAACGACAAATTACAGCAATTTCAATGATCACCAAGTCATATTATGCTGTGCGGGATTAATAAAAGTTAATTTCATTTACTGGAAGATAGAAATTACTTAGCCACAATAAAATTCATTAGATAATGGAACTAAAATGATTTTCAATTAGGAAATGAAACATTCGACATTTTAAAATATGGTGATATTAAATCCTCGTCACATAAATCCAATTCGAAAGCTTTTTATTTGATTGTTGTTGGTTATCGGTTTTATACTTTTATATTTCTAAATAATTCATCTTTTTGGTTTACGTGAAATGGAACACTAAGATCAAAGGGTAAGTAACTTAGAAAAGGCCTGGGATATTGGCACACTGTTTTATAGTACATGGCTGCAGAAAGAGAGGTTGGGTCAGGAACCTAGGCGAGGTAAGGATTGTATCTGTCGGGTTCTTTTCACTGTACACACTGAATGAAACATAAACTATTGTTTTCTTGTCTCGAATAACCAGGACAGAAAAGTATATACAATTTTTCCGAATACATCAATAAAATAGATATCTATATTTCAAATACTTATTCTGTCATCCACAAGTATTGTTCCAATTCAAAGATAAATCAACGTGTAATATAAACAAGACATAACTTCCGAAGCATAAATATGTTTTATGACAAATATATTATACAGACTATAATAAACATCATTATGATCTAGACAACAGCTGTTTTGATGTGATTTTCAAAGAAAAAGACATCAAGAATCTGACATGGATATGAGTATTCTCCCTTGATGGATCAGAGCGCTTTTGATGGATTGTTTAACACCTGTCTATTAACAGACGGAAAATATATCATCCGCCAATCGATCCAATGATCACTGGAATACTGATTGATTTTACGACTTGTAGTAGTATTGGGTTATAAAATGTTTACAACATCAAAAGAATGTATGGTAATTTCATGTTATCAAAATAGTATACAGCATAAATATCACGTATATAAACATGATGGGTAGTTTCTGTACCCTAGCTGGTAAAACCTGGTACTGTATTCAGCCCCAAAGTTTATTATTATACTTCATACAGACAATGGTAGATAGATTTACGGGTTTTTGATTAGGAAAATATAGAGAAGTTACTTGAAAAGGTGGCAACTATTTAATACTGGTCTAGTTTACTAACTGCATGGGTGTATGGAAGCTGCATCACGAGAAAAGTTTTGTATATGTAACTATAAGGAACTGTTATAAAGTGATGACGAACGTGGGAACATAATAGAATTGTACATGAATGATGTATCAACGGGAGTAACATGACGGGGTGTCACTGGTGGAGCAGGAACTAATAACCCATCCAGAGCACTTGACTTCACGTCCTTTTTTGGGCAGGAAGTGATTTATTAACTATTGCTTCGTTTGACCATGGCGTTGTTGGTCTTTCTCAGATTATTTTTTCATTCGGCCCATAGTATCTTCTTACTTTTTTGGCTGATAATAAACAAATTAAAAACCTTCGTTGGGTTGAAAATTTACCTTTTTAAATGTAAACAATGTACTGAGTTGTTCAGTAGTTTGCATGAAAATATAGCAATGCGAAGAAATGCTGTTACTGGTACAAAATTATAGAAATCTGTTGATTACTGAAATTGTACAAAAGTTTGTAATCAATCATTATTTACTAATTAAATGTCGAATTAGACATAAACTAATATCATGTGAAGAGTAAAATCTCTTTGAACCTGAGGTAAACGTTTTTATCATCTAAACAATACATTCGCGCTATTTACTATGTTGGAATTTTTAATCTTAAAAAAATTGTTCAATTTTACGCGTCGTGCTCCTGTTAATTAGAAAATACTTTTCTGATGAAAGACAACTGTGCGCATGGCAAACAGAGAGGGAACATCTGTTAATTTCGTTCTATTGTTTCCATTGTTTTTATCAGTGGTTTCTAAAACAAGACAGAAATCAGAGAAGTAGAATGTAGTTTTCTTTGCTAATTGTCGTTTTGCGTAATTATTTATGTTGTACATCAACGTAAAAATTCTTTGACACGTAATTATCTATGAAACACGTCAGGTAACAAAAGTCGACTTGTAATTCTTTTACAGCTTCATTACCAGATTAACGCGATCTAACGGAGGTAAGGAGAACTCAAACTGACAGAACAAAACTTGGTACCGATATACACAAATGTCTCATTTACGACATGATGAGAATAAAAAACTGGGTACCATTTTGAAAAGTACCCATTTTGGTGAAGATCGTGATACCATAACGGTAAATTCGTTAAAACAATCGTTGTACCTTACGGTGTACTCGTTTACGAACTGAAAGTACACTGGAGATGTCATATTATATAAAACATTAAGTAAAGAGTTTCGAAACAAAACAAAGTCAACTTATATATAACAACTTATATAACTACTTTGCTTAGTACTATCATGCTGTGCTTGATACATACTATCGGTCTTGCTTTTTCAAAATTATATTCTCCTATAATATATTTTCCACGACATCTGTCGACCGTTAGTTATAATACTTGACATTCAATGTTAGATATATGGTGGATTATGAATTTTTTGTGATAATTTTATAGCCTTCATTGTCAACAACTCATCCTGGGAACTTGACACTGCTTTTTATGAAAATTGACCCCTACAGCAATCTCAATAAAACTGTCAAGAATGTACAGACTGTAACGCCGATATTAAAGTACAACAAATGTTTTTAAGTAATTAATATTTGTAATATTCATGATTGCACTAAAACAATAGATTGGTGTGGATGTTATCATATGGACATTAAATTGATTTCTGTTTTATTATTTAACTGTGGATTAATCAGATGAAAAAATGTTGGAGATATAATTCATCGTAAGGAGGTTAATTTTGAAAGGGTTCACCATTTGTCGCTATGAGGTCTGGCTCGTAGCTCCAGTCGTTCGTGATATATAAGTCTAGCCAAATACTCCACGACCAATGGAAAATGGTATAGTGGACATCAGTGTCTTCGTCTAGACAACAGAAATGTAAGCCATATATGTTTTCGTGGGCATGACTTCCTTGTGACCCTCCTCCATGTACGCATATGCTTATTCCGTCAACAGAGGGGGTTCAAAACGAAGTCTTTCCGCAATTGGAATAGAAAATACATTTCCAACGTAGTAATTTGTTTCATTCGGTTGTTATGAACTCGAAATGAAGCTATGCATTTGTTAGAAATGAACTTAATGTTATTCCCTCTGAAAGACCTCGAGATATTTAAAGATGATTAAATTTGATATCTGCAGTCTGTTGTCAATTATAATTCATATTTTAAACGTAATATCATTATTGAATATAAATATTACATCGCGTGATCTATCGTTTTTCGTTCATCTACTTCAGATTGAAGAGTGGCATAAAGGGACTTTATCAATCAATTAATCAAAATTCTCACAATCAATTATTTATCTCTGATTTAACTAGTGATATATACTACTAGGGTAGATTTAATATCCTTCGCCAACAGCGAGACGACTGAAATAAATGCTACCGAAATTAATTAATTTCCCTCTTTTGAAATTATTTGTTCACGATTTGTCAGAGTTTTATTAAAAAGTTATTGGTCCCCGAGATATTAAAATACTTTATTAACAGTAAAGGAAATTACTTCTCATACGTACTCTGGAAATATCTTTCAGTTTTAGTGTCTTACTTAACGTCGATATGAAGGGAGGCATTATTCTACGAGAGACATTTTCGGTTTGAATTACAGTAACTTGAAAGTTTGTCAGAGATTGCCCTAACGTTTGATGGCCTTTTTAGACTGACTTGCTTGGCCGTTCACAGTCCCAGCAAGTTCTAAAAGGGCCGTCAGGCGTCAAAGCAACCTCTGATTATGGCAACAGCAAGTCCAAAAATGCCGTCAGACGTCGGAGCAATCTCGGACTATTTGAAAGTTAACACAATTCATGTGAAAAGACTACCATAATACCTAGAATTACAAATGCTAACCAAGCAAAGACAAACCGGGGGACTGGTACCCCAGAAATTGTAACAGTTATTTAATTGATTGACCGATCGACACATGTACAACATCCAAGGGCAAATGTTTTATGCAAATTCATCTAAACTTAAATAATACTTAGTAGGTACTGCAAGATGGATACACAAGGATAAAAGGCGGGAGATTAATTGTTAACTGGAAACATATCAATGTTTCGACATCGAAATGCATTTCCCCCTTGTATTGATAAAGGATTCTATATATAAACATCCGCTGCTTTAAACGCGTCTTATTAAAAGAGGATTTCGAGTTTTAATACTTACCAAAGAAGGAAATAATAAATTTAACCAGTTAATGTTCTGTAAATTTTGATAATACTGGAAAAGAGGTCTTAATATCCGAGACTGCATTCAAAAACGCAATACCGCCACGCAAAAGCAAATTGTAATTAATTTAAATCGCGAGATCAAGAAACTTCAAATAAACTAATTTTTCCTTCATTTTGATTGCTGAAATTAACCTTTGTTGATATTGGAAATTGGTTTTTAGTTTGTTGTTGACGAACAAATCCAATCTCGAAAATTAATTAAAATCGATCCTAAATGGAACACACGTTTTTCTTCTAATTATCTGGCCATTTATGTTTCTCACTACTAAAACTCGAACATGATAATTAAGTAGTCTGTTCAAATGTATTATCACGTAATTACACCGACTTTTAGAGAGTCCATTATCATACACTTAGACTCTGCGAATACGACATCTGTCGAGAAAAAAAAATCGTTTGTAATTTTAATTTTGATAGGGGCATCTAAAATCAATTTAACTTCATTAAAATGTACCTTATTCTACTTAGCCAAACGGAACAGTGGTTAATTGAAAGGCTTTCCAGTCTGGATAAAACATCGTTTCTCATGTTTCGTTTATCAGAGGCCGCAGACGTTTGTTAATTACTGTGTATTGCATATAAAGCTAGTTAGTAACAACAGAAGTAAACAATCCATTTGTCTAATTATTCAGTTTGTATTGGGACTAATAAATGTGTCTATTGGTCCCAGGTTTGCACTGAATTTATGGAATGCAAGTACAAAAAGTTGAATTCTTTGCTACACTGCGAAGTACAAGTTATTATTTTAAAATCCAATATTTTTTTAATTTACAAATACCAACCAGATGACTTATTCACACACATCTTTTTTGTCCATTAACGTTTTCATTTTTTCATTACGAACACCTGTGCTTTTCTTTTTTTGTTCCCAAATTTACTTTCTTGAATACAAATATTACCTAAAAATCAATATTACCAACTTAAATCCACACAAATCTCTTTTTCCAGATGATTTAATATTATCGCCTTTTTTTCTTTTGACACATATATCAGATTTTAACAAATTTGTATAAGCTCGTTTAATATTTATTCTTCATTTCTCAACGTATAAAATGCTATTATTACCTTTATGAAAGGAACCAATTTACTTTTCATTAAGTTAAGCTTGGTAATAATAAAGTTTCAGATTGGTATTACTTGTGTTGTAATTGAACCCAGTAATGAGTCTTAATTGACCAATTGTGCTTGCTAAACATGCATTTATCCTAGGTGCCCACAGTAAATAACTGATTTACTAATGAATTAGAAAGCTAATTTATTCTCTCGAGGTTTATAATTAGACTGGACAGACAAATGATTAAGAATTGCTCATATTCCGAACGATCAATTTAGTGAGATTCGTTAAGCTAACCGTCTAACGAGGACAGAGAAGTACGAGAGATATCCATATATCACTACCTTAAATGTTCATTAAGTTAAAATTGTTGATATACAAATACAAAAGATTAACAAAGGTTTCAAAATTTTTGGTTTGCCTGAAGAAAGTTAGTCTTTTCATGCATAACGCCCATGTTTTAATTTGGAAAGAAGAATGTTACCATAATGATTATGCAGGACTGAATCCTTGTATATATATCTATCAGAAAGTAAAGTTTTGACAAATATCAAATATCTCGAAGCATTTAAATGCAATAATAGGCGCGTTTTTTGACACAGAGGTCTGGTCACATATCACAGACAAACCACTGCCTTTGTAATTTTAGTATACCAAGTATCTACTGTGGTATACTCTAAGAAAATGAATAAATACCTTAATGCCTGAGAGAACAACTTCACGACGTAAACATTTTCCCACGAACCCTGTATTAAACTATTTAACATTTACACGATAATCTTTTTGTAAATACACATGGGTTCAATTTGTACCTACCGTAAGTAATCATTTTTACACAGTATCATCCCAGATCTGGTAAAACACGATCCTAATTGTTCTAAATTTGTCTGACAACAAGAGCACTTTAAACAACCTGTGTGCCAATATCTTTCCATCGCATGTAGCAGGAATCGGTCCAAGATTCTACCACCACAACCTGCACATGCCTTGCCGTACGATGGTGCATCACCTGTCACGCTGTTGGCCAGGTTACCTATGTCCTGCATCACACCATTATTCATCATTGAAGAACTGTCTTCTGTACCTGTGCAGAAAAAAAAAATAAGTTGAGAAGCCTCGATTTATTTTGCCTTGTCTAGGGTAAAAAAACCCTTTCAACCAACAAAAGTGACTATAATATTGTTGCAGGTTGTCACCCCCCCCCCCTCCCCCGCCAAGCAAGTCGCAGGGTGAGGCAAACAAAGATAATACCAAGGAGGCAATTAAAACAAGTCAAACAAAGACAGCACCGTGGTTAGAAAATAAGGGGCGAACTGACTATCAAGTAAACAAATCAGTTACACTACGAAAAATCTGACAATGAGCAACACGAACCCCAACAAACACCTGATTTGATCTGATGTGTTCCGGAAAGGATAAGCAGTCCCTGCTCCATTGATGGCACCTGTCGTCTGCTCGTGGAATCAAGGCTGCATACCACATCTCTATTATATTAACAGAGTGCTCCATTCACACATATGTCAGGCTATTTTAATGATTTACGACTGCCTACCTTGCTATTTCAAGTATTTGGAATGTTAAATTTATAACCCATCTATGGCTGTGATATTTTTAAACACCAATGTTCTGGCAGTGAAACTCATAATACAACTAATGAAGTAAATATACTCTTGTTTAACTTAGGACTGATCAATACACACACACAAAAATAAAAGATTAAATTATGAATAATTTACAGGATTATACCTGATTACAGAATGAGGCTGTTTACATGATTAAGTCCCTGCTTATTGTACATGTTAACATCACAAAAGTGAAAAAAAGACTATAAATAGTTGCAAGACCAAAAATGTTCCTGCCGATGATTTTCAATGAATGGTATGTCGTCTGTGTACAAGCCGTTATGCCTTATTAAGTCGGATATTCGAAATTAATCAAGAAATTGCTTCAATTTTATACATTTAAAGTGTCGTTTCATACGAGACTTGTTCAGTAAAAAGTGCACACATATATTGTGTTTTCTTTAGACATAAGTCTTGATATGATAAACTATTTTAAGGATGATTTATCGTTCAGTGTGAAAAGATAAACAAAACTAAACGGAAGTAATGTGATAAAAACACGTGTTCAGCTTTATACTAACCATTTGTCATGATGAAGGTATATTCCGTCTGTTTTAGAAATCGTCTGCTTCAAATACATACAAACAACAAAGAAAAGTTTCAGTTCATGAAAAAATCCTTGAAAAATGTGTTTTTAAATTGTGCAGTCGTACACTATCAAATGTTCGTTGTCATAGTCCAATATGCGTCACTTAAATAGATGTATAGTAGGTCGGATTACATCAACAGCTTGAAATAAACAAACCAGCGTATACAAGAATCAAACATCCACAATAATTTGTATTGTTTAACGTTCCTCAACAAACAACTTCATAATTCCTGTAGCAGATTATTTTATGGTTGTGTGTTATGAATTACTCCGTATTTACGAGTGGATCGTTTCTCATTTGTAGCTAACCAATCGTAACGCATGTTTCAATAGCATGAATGGAGAAATGATAACGTCTGCTCCGCCCAGTTTAATATTGACAGATTTAATTTTGTCAATATTATTAATGTTAATAATGATTGTTGCTTTAAAATAGGTAATTATGACTTGATTAAAAACGCGATGTTTATCTCGACTCTCTTGAAACCCATTTTTTATTAATTAGTTTTGTGTTATACTGGTCGGCTTATTGGAAGATCGTATTCAATTATTTTAATCAAAATAAAACTAGAGGAAATAATTAAAATTATCGGCTATTATAATAGGAACAGTAATAAAACGATTATTAAAACGCATTAGTGTCAAACTTTAGATAATTAAAATTCTCAAATTGATTTTTTTCTTTGACTGTTTGATTGAAATACCCACATACCCTTAAAATGTTCTTCTAAACCGATAAATGTTTAACCGAAATGCATCTTTCAATATTAAATTATGGCAAACAATTTCTTCTGTAGTCTTTATTTGAATCCAAAGAGTTTGATTTTTTTTTTAGTTTAACAAACAAACAAAAAATTAAAAAGAATGCTTGTAATGCAAGATGTCAAAGTTGACGACAGATGTTTGAAAAATATATATCTGTTGAATAATAAAATTTCAAACGTTTATGTCTTGACAAAATATGCATTTTGTAAACGTTATCACTTAATATATGCTATCGGATCAATTATGGCATTTCAAAACGGAATACTGGTACGTAGCTATTGATTACAAGTAACTTTGGTAATTTTAAGGACCCCAGATATCTGCATTTTAAATCAAATTAGAATCATTTAACTAGTTTTATTAATGTTATATCAAAATATAGCACATTTTGAATTGCAGAACGATAGTTTTCTTTTAAACGTCTGCTAACGCCCGATTGACAAATACAGCAAAAAAGATTGTTAATTCTATAAGACAGAGTGCTAGACTCCTTGCACGTTTACAGCCAGTTTGTACAAAGCAACATTTCTGTCCATGCCAAACATATTCAGACAAAAAATATCTAAACTTAAAAAATAGGCCTACTATAGCATTTAAAACTGATCACGACTTTTATATTTTTCGAATTGTTTCCGTACTCGTTCTGAATATGCATGTATACCACAGACAACCGATTACTGCAGCACCAATCCTTATTGCCGTTTCAGAACGGTTTACGACAGACAAAAAACTGGTGTTCAAAACTTGCGCATGAAATTGGGATGATACGTGTTGTCACTATTAATATATTGAGACTGCTGCGGATGTGGTCCATCAGTCCTTGAAGGTACAACAAACCCAATGATTCGGTACTTGCATGATTTAAATTCTAAAATTTGTCTGTGAATGTTATGTCTGTCAAACATTGTATTGTACGAAAACTAAGGTTATAACTAATCCAGGCAAAGACTATATTTTGTTTTTTATGCTCTCAAACATTTTATATTTTTGTCTTTGCCAACTTTTAGTATCGAGCGTAATAGTCTATTTGCCAATTCCGTTATTTATCCTGTAAATAGAGATCCATTTGCGCGGGTTGTCTCCCTTATAAATTTTCATTGACAATTAAGTGCTAGCAGAAAGAGCAAAGTTATATGTACGTAATGGCGGTCAATTATAAGCTTTTCAAATATTTCAAATACATTTAATGTTTTGTTAAAACACCTATATATCACTCTCAACTTATACAGCCAATTTTGTCCGGTGTAGAGACCAGTCTACAGTTGGAAAACTGAAACAACTTGTGTTAAAGCTGTGTAATAACAGAATCAAATCGGTAGGTAACACGCGTCGTGCATACATACAAATGCATAGGTTTAATTCTACACGAGTTTGGAAATACCCTACCTTAAAGCAAATTTTCGCACACGATCTTAATATGAGGACCTATGAGTGGGATGTATACAAACAACGTTGCATTCGCATTCGCTTTGGGGACGTTTAATCCAGGGTATTGTTTTGATAGTAACAAGCCTCCTTTACCCGAATTACAGTCGAGGTGTCGGCTTTTGTCAGTTGTAGGGAATACATGTATTTATAAACGTGTGGAAATCCCAAATGACGTGTGCATGTGCGGGCACGATGGCCCTGCACCCTAGTGGTTTTTAGTACATTTGTTCTGAGTTTTGACTGCCGTCTCCATCTTTAAGGGTAAAAAATCAGTTTACGTCTCCGCGTGGCTTTGTTTTTGAAAATCGGGTTTGCCACTGAATCCTATCTTTTCTCAGAATCCAAAGTATTCCTAGGATTAAAGATGATTACTATCTGAGGTCCTATAATATCCGACAGCAGGACTCATGTCAATTTTCTAAATGCTCAATCTCACCAAGTCGGAAGAAAACCCTTTAATTGCATTTTATAAGGCTATATATATATATACAGTACTTATTTATCTTTAAACACCTTCTTCGGTATACCCCCTATTTAGTACCATCAAATGTATTTATTGATCATTCTGTAAATGTCATCGATCTGCAAGTAGTATATGCCACTGTATGCCAGGTTATCTACTGCATATCAAACGAAATTTCAGACTTTTCAAACACATATTATACCAATTTCCGTGCGTTTTATGAATAACTTTCATATCAGTTATGTACACGCTTCTTACCAAAGACAAAATGTTCATGTAACATTGTTTTTTGATAAATAATTGATAAAAACAATATATTTTGTTTAAATCGTGTAATAGCCGAAGCAAGGGTTGGCTCCTTCACCAACAGCGGTGCCGATCCTATAATAAAAATTTATGTAGTGTTTTAGGTGCTTTAAATTTGAATTCATTGCTCTAATAAAAAGAGTCCGACAAGACACAACTTGAAAGATATATATTTAAATTAAAACAAAGATCATATACAACACAGACAACTTACTAGCTGATTTATGCTTTCGTTTATATACTATCATTATAACTTACCTAGATATGAAAATGATTCCATTAAGAGGTTAAGGATTTCATTATTAAAAGATACATAAATCAAGCCTTTGGTTTCTCTCGTTTGAATTGTTTCACATTTTGTCATGTCGGATCTTTTATAGCTTTATACCGTAAGAGTTTTGCTCATTGTTGAGGGCTGTTCAGTGACCTATAGTTGCTAACACCCACGTACTTTGGTCTCTGGTGGATAGTTGTCTTATTGGCAATTATACCACACACCCTTATTTTTAAACAAAAAACTTTTAACTTATAGTTGTTAATATTATTTTATACGATATTTGCCTCATTTTGGCAAAGTATGAAATTATTGTCGATTTTAGTTGAGATCCCCGAACCAACTTTAACGGTTACTTTTACATAAAGTTTTGGCTAATAACAAAACGACATATATACAAAATGTAACATTTGTTTCTCTTTTGTTTTTTCTTGATGACGACTTATTATTTCTCATTTATTTGGCTATTCGCGTCTTTCTGTTTACTAAAACTTTTCTAACACTTTGATTTTGATAAATATTTATGTAATATTTTCATTATTTGAAATATTGATAAAGAATTTCAATATCATGAATTTATTAAAATATAGAAATTTTTGGGGACGCATGTCTTGATAAAACAACCACAAAGTTGTTAATTTCTACGTCATTTGGTTGAGAGCTGTCTCAGTGGCAATTATACCAGATCTTCTTATTTTTATACTTAGTATATAAAAAGATACGGTATTTCGCACCCAAGTTTTTGGGAATACTTTTGTGATCAAGCAAACAGGTTTCAGGATTGTACTTCGTAATTTTGATTGGCTAATTAACTAAATAGCCTAACTAAGATAACTACGGCAATACACTAGTTTTGTTACATCTTTAGGGTAAATTCTGATTTCGTGTATTAGGGCTTTACAACATAACCCCTTTTACTATTTGCGTTGCACTGTATTGTTGCAAAAATAAGGAGACGAACTATGATTACCAGATATTTAAAATACAATTTTTAATTGTTGTCAATATAATGGAATTGTATGCGACTGTCATACAAGTGAGAGGTTTAGCTAGCTATCAAACCAGGTTTTATCCACCATTTTCTACATAAGGAAATGTCTGTACCAAGTCAGGAATATGACAGTTGTTTTCCATTCGTTTGATGTGTTTAAGCTTTTGATTTTTGCCATTTGATAATTAAGGGACTTTCCGTTTTGAATTTTCCTTGGAGTTCGGTATTTTTGTCATTTTACAACTCTTTACAGAATTATGAGAGACTATAAAATATTTTGATATACAAATATACAAGTCAACTATCATGGGTATATAAATACATTTTCGCTTTAATAAATATCATTGCAGATTTTAGCAGTATAAAACACACTGCTTTCATTTGTAAAAAAGAAAATATCAACTTTTCGTTATCAGGCAAATGGCAAAACAATCTCATCAACAATACCAGCATGATTAAGAATTACATTACGGATATCTGCATATACAGGACAATTTCACAAAACATGATTCTCATCTTCAACTTTATCAGCACAATTAAAACATACTCTATTTTCTATCAATATTATCGTTACGACCAGTTTCCATTCTGAGGGGTACTACGCCACATCTAAATTTAGCTAATGAGACAGCTATTTCAACCAAAGACAAGGCTGTGAACAACTATACTGTTCACTGTACGACCTTCAACAGTGAGCAAACGGGCGCAGGACGTTTGCGCTTTTTTACTTGTAACTCGATAGGTCATTTGCTCTCCAAACATTATGAACATTTGTGCTTTAAACATTAATACACCTGAACTAAATTTACCAGACATTTGCGCTTTTTTACCTATGATAGTTTACCGGTAATCTTAACTAAATTTACCAAAGTCATGGAAAGATGTTCACATATTATTCTCTGCATGGTTGGCAAAAAACCCGAGTTTTATGAGTATTGCCCAGCCCAGTGGGAAATACTGGGAAAACCCGTGTTTTACTGGGTTTTACTGGGTAATACTGGGCAATACTGGGTTATAAGAAATAATTTATAAGTTCTCTTGTTTGAGACTTATTACAAAGTGTAGTTACTAT